GTTGGTCTCTTCGTCACGTCCTTATCGTACACTAAGCTACAAATTCACGTCGAGACATTGTATCCTGTGGATCCTCTCACTGGGAGTTCATCGTTAGGTATACCAATTTTACACTGCTTATATATAAAAAAATAAATAGATGTAGGCCAGCCTAAAAGAGTAGCTCTTGGCCAGGTTTGCTCAGAGCCCGATTAAGCTAATCCAGGATAAGGTGGAATTTTGATTTGAGTTTTGTAACTTTGCGGTGAGGTTTTCTGTGTATTGTTTGGCCTTCTGTTTTGAGTTTTAACACAAAACAAAAGCAACGTAAACGGTTAACTTTGAATCCTGGGTTAGCCTTAACCGGCTTCCGAACAACCCGGCCCAGTTAACGTGATGTGAGCCCGCGATCCAATCGGAAACCAGCACATGGGCAGCGGTAAATCTCAAAAAAACCTCAGCTCTAAGCTTGAGCCCGCAATATGGTCACCTGACGCTGGTCAGCTGATACCTTGTTTTGACAGGCGTCAATTAGTCATAACATGGACGCTCAATATCAAAGAAGTACACTAGAAGTATTTAACAGTTATTCGCCAAAGACGAAGTGAACATAATCATTGGTGAATATTCACCGAGACGAAGTCGAGGTGTATATTCACCAATGTTCACTGCGCCTGAGGCGAATAATTGCTTTAGTGTAATCTTCAGAGGTGAATATCAAGGACTACAAAATAACGGGCTAAAACATAAAAACACGGACGCAATTGTTCGTGTGCATACACGTATGCAGCCGTAGTTTTAGTAATAAGCTTACATGCACGTCGATTGTGAATCAGTTTACTCATCGAGTTTGGCAGTAAAAAAAACAAAAAAAAAAACAAAAACAAAAAAAAAAAAAAACGAGCGAAACACTGCGAAAAATAAATTCATCCGGTACCTTTGTTTTATCGTTGTTGACTTCATTCACAGTTGTCGTCATCGTCTAAAAATGAGTAGCTTTAGTTTGAAGAAAAATAAATTTCGGTCAATCGATCTGACCTGCTGACGATCGACGCAACCACTGCGTTTACGATTCTCAAAGGCCTTGAATACGAGTTCTTGAAAAGATTTTTGGTCCAAGAGTGACAGCAGTCATTTTGAAAATTCTCCATCCTTTCAAATATCCTGGGCTTGGAGTAATGTCTTTGGAATAAATGAAAACTTCACTCCGCAACTGTCCGACATGTTTACTTGCCGAGATGGCAATCAGAATGTCCAATTCTTATATTCACCTCTGGAAATTACACTACAATAGGTTGACCAACTAGGCTGGTCAACCTATTATTTGGAGTATGGCCTCCATCTTGCGCGAGTCCGTCGCCTCCGTCGTCGGGCGTACGCGCCCACCGGCAATACCGCTAGTCATGATAACCATGAGAAAATCAACTAATGGATTTCCTTTTCTTTCCTATATGTATGGGGCCGGAGCTCCGCTAATGCATATATATAAAAGCAGTAGATTCTCTAGCGACCTTTGTGGCTCTATGCCATCGATGCACACAATCTGCTGTGGACCTTTCAGTTGAAATCCATTTTCCCTTGTAGTCCTTTTACAGCGTTATTTTTTTATGCTCAGTGTATTTTGACGGTGATTTGATTCCGTAAAAGGGGATACAAGAACAATTTGGTAAACAAAATCACATGTGGAGAAAGGCAACATGCCACGTTCTCAGTGAGCGGATTTTCATAGCTATCTTATATATCAAAGATAAATGCAGTAAGTAATTAAATGGACCGAGTAGCAAGTAGTTCAAAGCCATCACTTGCAAATCAACACTAATTTGCGTGTAATGACTGAACAAATTGAGCAAATTGTAAATTGTTCGTGATCATATTTAGACGGTCACGGGAAGTAGTTAAGATTTAGTTACAAGGTT